AAAACAAACCGAGCATTGGTCGGAAGCAACTGCTTTAAAAAAACGCAAATTCAATTCGACTTGTCATCCTTTGGGTCATTGACATGCAAATCAGTCTTCTCAAAGATGTATCTTGACTACTGTGTTTGGTTTTAATACAGTGGAGTTCCAGTCTGATAAACAAGCCCCGTTCCGTTTCTGTGAGTGGACGGGATTAGAGGTACTTATTGAGGAAGAGGAACAGGAGTGGAAGCGCTAAATCTGCGTTCCTGTCCCCACAGATACCGCGAGACATGTCGAGTCTCTGCTGCACTCTGTGTTTGTGCGTGTGTGAGAATGTGTGTACGTATGCGTGTGTTTGTGTGTGTGTGTGCGTCGGTGTGTGTGTTTGTGTGTGTGTCTGTGTGTATGTGTGTGCGTGCGTGCATGTCTGTGTGTGTCTGTGTGTACGTGTGTGCATCTGTGTGTGTGTGTCAGAGAGAGAGAGAGTATATGTGTCTGTGTGTCTGTGTGAGTGTGTGTATGTCTGTGTGTGAGTGTGTGTGTTTATGTGTGTATGTCTGATTTAAACTGAATTTGCCTCGATGACTCTGAATGCCACCTGATTTGGGAAAGGGATGGAGGTGATTTGCTGCACAATGTCACTCAGAAACTGGGCAGACAGTGCACATCGCTTGCTAAATCGAGGACGCTGTTCCCCCTCGTTGTGAGTGAACTATCCAAGTGCAGGACATCAGACCAGAGCTGCAAACGAGCCGTCATTCCCCAGAGTTAATTTCCTGTTGTTTTTTTTTCCCCATACCTCTGAGCACACTGTTTCTATCCAAATAATATTACACAGAACCCGTTGAGTGTCTGACTTGAAGCTGCCCCCACCACACTTCCAGGCAGTCCACTCCAAACCCTAACTCCTCTTCGGGTGTGAGAAAGACTTTTCCTCCCATCACCTCCGGCTTTGTTTGCACATTGCTTTAAATCTACACGCTCCTACTTTTTCTTGTTACTTTTACGAGTGGCAACAGATTCTCCTTATTGACTCTGTCCAGCCATCACTCACGAGTTTGAAAACCTCTATGATGGCTCCATCTCTCATCCTCCTCCTCTTCCAGGGAGACGAGTTCCGAATTTCTTCAATCTATCCTCATCGCTGACGTGTCTTATCAGTGGAGCTATTTTATAAATCACTTCTAAACTATCTCTCTCTCTCTCCGATACATTCGCATTTTTTTCTGATAACGCGGGGACAACAACTGTAGACAGTAGTCCAGCTGAGGTATGACCTCTAAATCAATTACCCCTTCCGGGTTGAAACGTACAAGTTACTAAATCACTGAAGATTTTCCTGAAGCAAACATTTTCACAGCTTTAGAGATAAACTTCCGAAAGTCACGTAGGTGGACGACTCTCTTCTAAATCTTATCAAGGAGCTGGCGGGAGCGGATGTACTGGGAGTTGGGGAGGGGCGCGGGGTGGTAAATTGTGAAATGGGGGACGGTGTGAGATCTCTAGATCGGCCACGGCTCTGTTCCCAGGGGCCCGAATGAGGAACGCTAGCCACAGGAAGGGTATCCAACAGTGAAGTTACTCTGAAAATCCTCTCCCACTACCTCCCCTCCCCCTCCTCCAGCCCCACGAGCACACCAATGACTCTTGACAGCAAGGTGGGCAATTAGTGTCTTAGTGGACCGGTGTGGAAAATGGGACCAGTTGTCAGGAATGAGTCGAGCAAGTAGGACAGTACCCCAAAATTGTGACGTTTACCTCCGAAATTAAGCGTTCTGTGTGATATCTTTCCTCTCAAAAACTGTAGATCAACACGTCGTTGGTAATCAGTTAAAGCGCCCCACATATCACTCCATGTGCAGTGAGATTTAGCCACAATTTTTCTTTGCTTCGAGGTTTTTTCACAGGTTGCCCCTGTTTAGCTTCTAACCTTTTTTACACCTTATCCCTCTTTACAGTCATCCCGCAGTGTAGATTTCCTCAAGGATGTATGCATGTCTAATACAGAGATGAGGAGGAATTTCTTCTCTCCCAGGGGAGTGAATCTGTGGAATTCTTTAATATTCAAGGCTGAGATAGGGAGATTTTGAATCAGGAAGGAAATCAAGGCTTATGTGGAAAAGGCAGAAAAGTGGGGCTAAGGATAATCAGACCAGCCATGAACTCATAACATGGTGGAACAGACTCGATGGGCTGAATGGTCTATATCTGCTCCTCGATGTAAGTCACAGTTTGTAGAAGATTTATTGCAAATTGTACCGCAGTTGACAAACCCTGGGGTGCATTTTGGAAAGACATCTGTGAAAGATATTGTGAAATCACGCATAGTAAATGTGGTTTATATGAAGCAAATTTATTCAAAGTTGTGACTTGTTGGGAGGTTGAAATCGTCGTTTTAACTGTCAGAACTTTCTGTGGGCAAGCACTTTGGGCTGTCGTCTGCAGATCCTAGTCTATTACCCTGAGATGGAGACACTGCCTCTTCTTAATCAGGAGAGTTTTTTATCTGATCTTTTGAGTTTTATTCACTCATAGGGCGTGGGTGCTGCTGGATGAGCCAACATTTATCACCTGTCCGTAATTTCCCCACGAGATAACAGTGGTAAGCCATCTTCGTAAGCCGTTGCAGTCTCTCCTCCCGGCATGTATGTCGGAGCAGCATGCCGTGCTGTTAGTGAGGAAGTGCCAAGATATTGACACGAGTGACACTGAAAGAATGGTCAGTGTTGCTCCAAGTTGGGTTGGTCTCTGTGTGTCTCTTCTATTTGCCTATGTTAATGTCTGCGTGTCTTTGTGGTGGGGTCTGGTGTTCCCATTATATGCTGCCCTTGTCCTTCTGGATGGAAGGTGTTGTGGGTTTGGAAGGTGCTGTCGAAGAAGCTTTGGTGAATTCCTGCAGTGCATCTTGTAGAGCGTCGGTGGTGGAAGGAGCGGATGTTTGTGAATGTGGTGCCAATCGAGTGGAGGCTGTTTTGCCCCTGGATGGAGAGGAGCTTTTCGAGAGTTGTTGGAGCTGCCCCCATCCAGTATTCCCTCACACTCCTGACTTGTGCCTTGTCGATGGTGGGACAGGCTCTGAAGAGTCAGGAGGTGAGTTAATCGCTGCAGGATTCCCAGACTCTGACCAGTTCATGCATCCGCTGGATTAATATGGCGAGTCCCTTTTTGATTTTGTTCAATGGTAGCACCCCTTCTCTGCCCTGATAGTAATAGTCGAGTTTTCAGTGACGGTAACACTGATAAATGTCAAGGTGTGTGGATTGGGTTGTTTCTTGTTACCTGGCATTTTTGTGGCACGAATGTCACTTGTCAATCGCCAGCTCAAGTCTGGATGTTGTCCAGGTCTTGCTACATTTGGACATGGACTGCTTCAGTATCTGAGGAGTGGTAAATGCTGCTGAATATTGCGCAGCCATTATATTTTCAGTAGAATGAGTGAATGGTGTTTCTTTTCTTTCTCTCTCTCTCTGTCTCTCTCTAATGCCGCAGGCTGCATAATGAGGCATAGGTGCCGTTTCCTCCACACTAATTCGCCTCCTCCCAGTATCCCTGTCTGGCTGAGTTTTATATTCTGGCTCATGGCTCAATTTTTCTTTCCCATACTGTCAGAGCAAAATTGAATTTCTTCTTGAAAACATTCAACGTTTTGGCCTCAGCTGCTTTCTTTGGCAGAATATTCTCAATCCTACGCCATA